GAATAATGCAAACTAAAACTACATAATAATTCACAATCTTTAATTAGGGGTATAACATGGCATAAAATAGTATTATAATCCAACATTATCTAACCAGAAATATGGTATCTAACCAGATACTTATACTCTTGATAGTATAACCTTGGTCTCCAGTAACACTTTGAGGAACCTTGGAGTCATTTTTGACCATAGTGTGTCCTTCAACGCACATATTAAAACAAATATGTAGGACTGCTTTCTTCCATTTGCACAATATCTCTAAAATTAGAAATATCCTGTCTCAGAGTGACTTGGGAAAAACTAGTTATGTATTTATTACTTCTAGGTTGGACTACTGTAATTTGTTATTATCAGGATGTCCTAAAAACTCCCTGAAAAGCCTTCAGATAAACCAAATTTCTGCAGCAAGAGTGCTGACAGGGACTAGAAAAAGAGAGAGCATATTTCTCCTATATTGGCTTCCCTTCATTGGCTCCCTCTTAAATCCAGAATTGAATTTAAAGTCCCATTCCTCACATACAAGGTCTTGAATAATCAAGCTCCATCTTGTCTTAATGACCTTATAGTACTGTATCATCCCATTAAAGCACTTTTCTCTTTTACTGCTGTCTTACTTGTGGTTCCTAGAGTATTTAAAAGTAGAATGGGAAGGAGAGCCTTCAGCTTTAAGGCGCCCAGCTTCCAATTTGGATTTGGCAGACAGACACTGTCTCTACTTTTAAGATCAGGTTTAAAACTTTCCTTTTCACTGGATCATTTGACCCTGAATCCTCCCTTAGTGATGCTGCAATAGCTGTAGACTGCTGGGGGATTCGCATGATACATTGAGTATTTCTTAGTCAGCCACCTTTCTCACTTGCTATGTGTTAATAGACGTCTCTGCTTTGAATCGTGCTTGTTATTAATCTGTGGCTGTCTTGTGCAGCATGTCTTTTGTTTTGTCTCCCTCTCCTAACCTCAACCGGTCATGCCAGATGAGCCTGGTTCTGCTATTAAAGGGAGTTTTTCCTTCCCACTGTCACCAAAGCGCTTTCTGGGGGTCCTATGATTGTTGGGGTCTCTGTCGTATTATTGTAAGGTCTACTTTGCAATATAAACCAACTTGAGTCGATTGTTGTTGTGATTTGATGCTGTATAAATAAAACTGAATTGAATTAAAATTGCTGGCCAAAATGCATCTACCATTTTCTAGTTTCTGAAACTATGCCTGTTACAAACTTGAACTAAACTATGTGACTGTAGCTCCATTCTGCATGCCAAATATCAGTAGTTTGCTGGTGACCCTGTAAAGGCTCAGTTTATAATACTTTGTTGATGTCACGGGTAATGGGGAAATATGGACTCAGTCGCGGAGCTCTGGATGCGAAGCAAACAGTGCGTTTATTTACAGTGCTCAAAAACAGTCTCAAAACACAAAGCGAAGTGCAAAAATTCAACGGTGATCATCTCCAAATTCCCAGTGGTGTGCAGGTGAGTCTCCCAAGTGATTATCCAAGTGTGTTTCTCCTCCGAGAGCTTAATCCAGCGGGGTCCTTCTCTCCAACCTTCTGCTCCGTATCACTTCCTCCTACAAACGAGTGACGACAACAACAGGTGAGAAGGGTAGCCGGCTAAAGCTATGTTACAAGTAACAAACACTCTTTACTACCGAGCTTCCAGTACAATCCGGACACACAGTTAAATACCTCAGCCCACAACGAAGGATGATCAGTGACAGCTGGGTGGCAAATTAGGTGCAGGTGTGTCAGCCACTGGGTGGAGGAGGAGAGAGAGAGAAGCACACACAGACACACACAGGCAGGTCGCCCTGGGAAGGACCGTCCGACCAGGGCCCTGTTTCAGAAAGCCGGTTTAGTGCAAACTCTGAGTAAGTATACCCTGAGTTAACGAAAACTCTGGGTTTTCGGTTTCACAAAGTGAGTTCAGCTGAAGCCTGAGTGAGTCACTGACGACACACTCCGTGAAGCTAACCTGCCCCCTAGCAGGTTTACTACAACTAACCCTGACTGTCCCCGTCTCTTTGTCGGAAACCTGACAGTAGGAAGTGTCAGACATGGCGTGTCCCTTCCTTGAAGAGCCAGTAGATCTTGAAGCCCAAATTCTCCGCAGAGCTCTCCGCCGGGAGAGAGTGATCAGAGCGCGTTTGGACATTTTATCATTTCCTGATGATTTCCTGTGCGAATGTTACCGTTTCTCAGCACAATCTATAATTTATTTGAATAACATCCTCAGGCCATATATTGCGCATGTGACACATCGCGGACATTCTCTCAGTTCTGTACATATTATTTGTATTGCACTTCGGTTTTTTGCAAACGGGAGCTTTCTGTACAATATTGGTGACGCTGAGCACGTTTCCAAGGCTACCGTCTGTCGGGCAGTCAGGAATGTTACAGTTGCACTGAAACGTCTCCTGTACTGGTTTGTGGTGTTCCCCGGTCATAGACCCACAAGATTTATCAAAGAGGGATGCCACAAAATTGCAGGTAGCAGGATGAACAAAACTTAATACATGATGTGGTGATACTTGAACTACTACTTAAATTTTACATTTATTTTCACGGTTCCCAGGCGTGATTGGCTGTATAGATGGGACTCACATTCCAATCATTGCTCCTTCAGTAAATGAAGGAGACTATGTGAACAGGAAGTCGTTCCACAGCATTAATGTACAGGTACATAGTTCCCTGTAGCATTTCAAACTAACAAATTATTTCATTATAGTAATGGATGCTAATTTGTGTTCTCTGCACTGTGAAGATCATATGTGATGCTGCCAACATTATCACAAATGTGGAAGCCAAGTGGCCAGGCTCTGTGAGTGGTGGTGGTGGAGGACCCCCACCTGTTTTTTGGGCCTCCGCTTTTTTTCTAGTGGCCATAATGGGTCACATTTGAGCATACAGAGTAAGCAAATATGTACTTATAATGTGCTCAGATAATTTCAATAAGTGCTTACAGAGGGGAAATTAATGTAGCCTCTAACTGCAATTGATTTACATAGGACAAACAGACCAAGCACTATGGCTCATAATACAATTACACCTTACCTAAAAAGATAAATGGCTTCTCAGTAGACCCGCTGCTCAGATGCCTTGATGAAATAAGGACTTGGATGGCTTTGAACTTTTTACATTTTAATGAACAGAAAACAGAAGTGATGGTTTTTGGTGGCGCTTCTGAGGCCACTATTATAGATCTTGGTTCACTGGCACAGTATGTTAAACCAGTCATCACTAATCTGGGAGTTAAAATAGAGGCAAATCTTAAACTTGAAAGCCAGGTCAGAGCTGTTGTAAGATCTAGCTTTTTTCATTTGAGGGAATTAGCCAAAATAAAGCCTATCTTATCGAAACAGCATTTTCAGACAGTAATCCATGCCTTTGTTACTTCTAGGCTGGATTATTGTAACGCACTTTATTTTGGGGTTAGTGATGCGTCCATTAGGCGCCTGCAGGTTGTGCAAAATGCTGCAGCACGTCTTTTAACTGGAACAAAAAAGTTTGAGCACATTACCCCTATTTTAATTTCACTCCACTGGCTACCTGTACATTTTAGGATTGTTTTTAAAATTCTCTTATTTGCTTTTAAATCTCTTAATGGCCTGGCCCCCCCTACCTCTCGGAGCTACTACAACCATATACACCTGCCCGTTCCCTTAGGTCCGCCAATCAGCAACTCCTTAAGGTACCGAAAACTAAGTATAAACTTAAAGGTGATCGTGCTTTTGCTGTAGCTGCTCCAAAGTTGTGGAATGATCTGCCCTTGCATGTTAGGCAGGCCTCTTCTCTCTCTGAATTTAAAAGTCTTCTTAAAACATATTTATTCGCTGAAGCCTTTGGCATTGATTAGAGGGGTTGACTCAATTTGTTTTAACATGTTTCAATTTATTGTATCTATTTATTTTATTGTATCTCATTTTAATTTTCTTTACGTATGCTATTAACATGTACAGCACTTTGTGAAACTCTGGTTTTATGTTAAAGTGCTTTAGAAATAAAGTTGGTATGGTATGGTATGGTACCTGTTTGGACTATATTTTTATATTTCATTTTTACTTGCTACCAGGAACGTTTGGGGCCTGTTGGGTTGCACCTGCGCTCAAATCACATCACAAAGTAAAAGGTATAAAATACAAAATAAAATATAATAAAATAAGTGTTAAATGGGTGGAAATCCCTAGATCAATGTTTAAATTAACACTCACGCATTGACTCTGTCGGCTATGTTTTGCCATGCATGCCCCCTTTCTTTTGCAGCTGTCGCTGTGTTACTTTTTTTCTGCAAAATTTGCATGTTATCAGCATATGCTGCCATCAGAATTTCGGCCTCAAGCGCTGTAAAATACATTGACCGCGCCTTCTTTCCCTCCTTCTCCATGGTGACTCGCTTAATCTGTGCTCCACTAATCAGGGCTTTATGTATCCTCGTGCGCGCGCTTAACTTGGGGTTAAAGCAACTCCGCGTTGATTGAACTACTTGTTATCAGCCTTTCTGAAACCGAATATTCCGAGTTGGACAGTTCGGGGTTACTCAACCCTGAGTATCGTTTTTCACTCTGAGTTTTCTAAACCGGCTTCCTGAAATAGGGCCCATGACAGTTGATTTGTTCTGTCATAGCAGTGAAAAGAGCTCATCATGGTGGAACTCAAATACTGAACTACATTTTACTGAGTGTAAGAAAGACTGACTCTCTCTCACGAGACACTTCATTCTTTTCATGAGCATGTTTGTGATTTGATGTCTGATTTTTCGTTTCTCTTCAGGTAAAAAGAGAAGAACACATAAACAGTACATCACTACTGCTGACAAAGGCACGTTTGAATGTTTACTAACTTTAAACACGACGTGTGATTAAAGCTGAGAGGCGCTGAGAAGCAATGAGAAGGCGGGGTGATGGGCTTGTGCAAATCTAGTCTGTAAACACAGATTGAGCAACAGGGCCGGGTACCTCCTTTGTTTGACACTTTTCCTGAAATGGGTGTGAGGCATTTGGAAATAGTTGTCCAAAAAGGCTAAACATCCACTTCACAGTGTGGATTTGCACTTCACGCACTTCACCTGCATGCGCGCGGTGCCGCTCGCAAGTCGGACTGTTCTTACCCACGTGTGTGTAAACTGGAGGACCGCGCTGCCGCACTGCTATTAGTGCTGATAGTGGAACCTGTTATTGGAGCAGATAGAGAAACACCCGCACCGCCTGCTGCTCTTAACTTGGTGCGTAAACGGTTTACGCTTCAATCACCTTCTTGGCTGCCGCAGGATTGAGGCTTCCAAACAGCGCACAGGGCGAGGTAAAGAGCTGGGTTTTTTTTTATTTCGTTTTGTGTTTACAAAAAAAAAAGTCCTGTGAAACTCTTGTCACTTTGACGCATTACAAAGAATATGAGAATTAATGCGATGTTTATTGGAATGATAAATATAACACCTTGTAATAATCTCAAGGTGTTTTAGGGAAAAGGAAAGACGTGTAACAGTAATGAAGACGTTAAAGTGCGTATCACAAACCAAACCTAATAGGAATAAGCAATAACACTATTTTTGTTTGTTTTTTGTTTTTGCTATATAACTGTTTTCATAAAGAAAACCGATTTGTCCTTTTAACAGCAGAAACGAACGTTCACTCACTAAGCGCCTTGTAAATCTACTTCTTCTTCTTATTATTATTATTATTATTATTATTATTATTATTATTATTATTATTATTGTTGTTGTTGTTGTAGTTATTACTGTTATTGTTTTTATTGTTATTATTATTATTATTATTATCATCATCAACTCTACTATCTTATAACAAATATTAAAATGTAAAGAAACAAAAAGCATTCTGACTGCCACAGATCAAAAACTATTTACTTTTCCTTTTAAAAAGTCCTGCTTGTTTTTCCTCCTCAACATAAATACTTGCCTGAGGTTGTGTCCTGTGCACAGGTCTGGAACATTTTGGGGGATTTTGTAAAAGGTAACGGAAATATTTGTCTCCTTGTGGAGCTGGACTTTTAAGGATTTCCACTGCAGTAGACTCCAAACACCCTTCGTTGAGTGCTATATTTAGACATAGGCTTAAAGGTACTTGAGCTTTAGTTGAGTTTTCAATATGCATGCTAGAGGGTGTAATCTTTTGATGAAGTGAAGATGAGGCAGGGTCTCGCTTAGGTTTTAGGAGTTTTTACCCACAAAATGCTCCTGCTTGGGGGTAGTACTTTCACACAGTTCAGGAACATCTGTTGAGGGACTTGCAGCTCAGTGATACTTATCAACTTATCAGTGATAAGTCTACTGTTTTCTGAAGTAAAGTAATACAACCTGAATTTTTTTTCTAATATCTGTAAAGGCAGTCGGGTAGTTTTTCTTGTAGCATGAGCAGACCAAGACTTATTACAACTGATGTACATACAGGTTTTGTTATACACTGCGAACAGGGAATTGGAAATCTGTGCTATTCAAAGCCAGGTTGCTTCATTGTTCAGGGGCCCGGCCATGGAAACACTAAGCAAAATGTTCTGGAGGAACATCTAACCAAGCCAAGGAAGAGATGAATATCTGTGAATAAAGAAGAATGTCCCACTGCAGCAACCTGTAAAGAGCAAAGAGCAGTGTCTTACATAACAAGGATGAATTTATTTTTTAAGAATAGTTGATATTGACAGTTTTCACAGTTTACTTATTGGACTATTGCAAGTGGAATGCAGAAATTGCTTCTATAAACTCCATTGCGCTATAAACCAAGGTTTTGTTTTCTTTCCCCATCTTCATTCATCTGCTCATCATGGAATCGTGCAGCCGATCATATTTGTGAGACTTCTGAGAATAGTTGTGGTCGACCATGTTGTGCAGCAACAGGCCAAGTGATTTAGAGCTGAAAACATCAGGACTGTGAGCAGCTCTCAGCTCAACAACCCCTCTCTGTTTGCTGGCTTAGACTCTGCGGCTCCACCCGGACCCCCACCCATTACCCCTGCACCCACCCAGAGCACACACACACACACAAACATACATTCAGACTGGGGCCTGCAGTGGACCATGTCAACCCTTAATCAAAAGGGGGGTGTTATTTCTCACACACACACACACACACACACACACACACACACACACACACACACACACACACACACACACACACACACATTTTATATGAATTAGTAGTGAGCAGGAAACAGCAACATCTACTGGCTGCTAGCTTGAAAGGGAAAAATCTGCATCAGTATGTCTTGTGTGTGTCTATTTATGTGTATTCACCTTTATATAGCAAATGACAAGCAAGACACATGAGCCAAATTTTCTGAACGTTTTCTCTCTTCAGTAACATTACCTTACCTTATTTATTATTTAACCATGCTCCCAGTTAAATGCTGTAGGTGAGTCTATTGTGGTGTTGAGTGGATGGATGAAATCACAAGGTTGAGATTTTTCTCACTACAAGACTATTTGTGAAATATCTTTCTTGGTAACTTTTTCTCATACTGAAGCTATTTTTTGCTGGTTTTTAGTTTGTTTTTTGTCTGTTTGGAAGCTGACACAGTCTCTAAGGGGATCGGGTTTGGGGGATAACAGGAGGAGAGAAGCTGCAGAGAGGCTTGTAAGACTGCAATTCTGCTTCCTGGTCCCAACTCTGGATAATAACGTTTTTGGGGGGGTTAATAAATTTGGCAAAGTTTCTAGAAATGAGAGCTGCTCCATCCAAAGTGGGATGGATGCTGTCTCTTCTAACAAGACCAGGTTTCCACCAGAAAGTTTCTCAATTATCTATAAAGCCTACATAGTTTTTTCTAGACAACACTCAGACAGACAGCAAGTTAAGGAGAAGATGCAGCCGGTCATTCCAATGGACTGATTCTTATATAGTACTTTTCTTTTTACCTTATTTACCCATTCACAGAAGCACTTTTTTTTCTAAGTCTAAGTGCTTTCTATCTAAAATTCACACCTTACTGAACACATCGGAGAGCAACCCCGTGACCCTGAATTAGATAAGTGGAATAAAATGGATGGACAGTTAACAAGGCAAGGATTAAAAAAGCACTTGAACACTTAGTTACTTTTAGCTCTGATAGTGCCTCCTGTGTTTGGCTAGCAGTGAGTACCCTGTACCCATTTAGATGCTTATGAGGAGTGTATCTAACCCTAACCAAAGCTTGATTTCCCACAGAAAACAAAAGCAGAAACAAAAACAGAGATGGGCAGGATTGTAGGATCATACATTTCTAGCTATTCTCGTTCCTGCAATACAATCAGTGTCACCAACAGTATTACTGTTTTCTCATAGTATTTATATGGAATATTAAAAGGAAAATCTTGTGCTCTGTACTGAGGGCTCTTTGTGGCAGGTATGACGTGGTGTGCTGGTGATGTATAATAAAGAATTCAGTAGACTAGTTTGAACTCACCACGTCAACCATAGGAGGAAAATATATCAGCTGTGCAATAAGGACACAGACTATTTGTGAATACCTAAGGCTGCATATACAGTAAATACCACACCCATCGAATTGCACCCCACCCACATGCAAACACATAGTAGATTCTAGAGACTGCTAATGTCTGTATGCTTGGCAGGGTTTGCTTTTCCAAAGCAGGTTGCCTCACAGCTTTTAAAAGACGTTCTCCAACAGGGTGTTCCTACTCCACTTTAGAGATGCTGAATATAGAATGTTTTCTGCATCATTTCCCTGTGGAAAGACTACACGAGGAAAAGAAATGCATAAGCATACCCTAGGCTAAGGTTTACACTAAACCTCCAAGTTTCCATTCAGTTTATTTTAAGAATGATTCTCCTATGTAACCTTTACAGAGTTTTAATGTGATCTTTGTGGACTCCTTCATAAGAAAAATAAATATGTTTAGCATTTATACTTCTGCACTGGTGCTGCAGAGACTGAATGCCTCTCTGTTCGCCAGAAGTTTTAGTGTAAGCCAGGTAACCCTAAATGTTGTCCAGAGCTCTGAACATTTGCAGGCTTGCAGCAGAGATAGCAGCACATTAAAGGAGTCTGTCACTATCTGTACCATGAAGTTATTCACCCAACCACAACAGCCTGATCTGGCCTGTTGCATTGTTACGTTTGTTGAATGCAATCTCATTTATTGAATTCACATTCAACCTACAAATTGATACCTGTCTGAAACCAGTTTTCCCCAGACTCTTTTACAACTTGGGAGATAAAGAAGCTGCTTTTATCACTAGATTTTTGTCTTTTTATAGCTGTAGCTGAAGCTTGCTCTGTAGCTGGTTAAGATACTGACTAAAACTGAATGCTTCAATTGTCCTGCTTAATCTACCGCTCAGAAGGACATGTACAGTGCTGTGAAAAGTATATGCTCCCTTGCTGATTTCTTTCTTTTTTTCTTGTTCACGACCAGTATGGATTGAGAGGAGGAAGACAGGATAAAAGACACGCTGTGGAAAAGAGTTACAGTTTAAAATGATTAACAATTAAATGCAGAGTGGTCTATAAACACATGGAGGAAAGCATCTCCTTTGTACTGGTTTTCAGCATAAGCCAGGTTAACAACTTGTATGTAATGAAAGTATTGTGTTTATCGCTCAGGCTACAAAGTCTCAGGAGCTCTTACATCACCTTCTCACTCAGTCAGAAGTGAGATGTCCATTCAAGCAGAACAAAACTCCGCCTCTTTAATTCATAATGGTTACTTTATTTGTAAGCTTACACTGGGGAAGTGTGGTGGTGTGGTTGCTGTTGCGTCACAGCAAGAAGGCCCTGGGCTTATATCCAGCCTTTCTGTGTGGTGTTTGCATGTTCTTCTCTGTATGAACTCCCTGGCTTCTTCCCACAGTCCATAAACATGCATTGGTGATAGTTGTTTGTCTGTATGTGTTAGCCCTAAGACAAATTAGTGACCTCTCCCAGGTGGAGTCTGTCCCTTGTTCTGTGATAGCCTCTAAACTCCCTGTGACCCTGAATTGTATAACTGAAAGAAGATAGAGAGATGTCTGCATTAACCTGTGAACTATTTTCTAGTTATACAGTTGAGTGTTCAAAGAAACTTTCCAAATCTCATGATCACTTATGCATTTCTTACAAGAACAAGTACTGTCACTTTACAATGACATAAATGATTGTTTTGTCTCTTTGTGGTGGTCTTCACATCTCATTGTCTCATTAATGTCATTACCCATGCATTTCTTTGCATGTATCATTGTCCTGAGGTTTTGGTGCTTTTGTTTAAAAAGAAGGCAACAGTCCAGAGATGCTTGGCTCCCACACAAATGTGTACCTTAAAGGAGATAACCCATAACTGAGCAAATGATGTCTTACAAATAAAAAAGAAA